ACAAAATGGATACATCCTCCCAGTGACTTGGAATTCATATACATGATCAAAATGGATTTTCTGAATAGTCTCTCTTTAACACCATTACCAGATTTTTATTCTCTTCTGTAGAAATGTGCAGTTTAATGTTGCATTTCAGATAATTTTTGGCTGAAAAAATGTGTAATGGAATCAGGGTGTCCCCTGTCTCCTAACAGTTGGAGATGCCTCTTTGTTTTGAACACTAGAATCCCAATAGACCCATGACAGCAGTGGAGTTACACTTTTGACCTTGTTCACTAACGTGTTTCTTTCTTTGTGTGATTGAATGAGAGTAACCAACAAGAGCTTCCTCTAAAATGAAGAGTTTCCCTCTGTTTCTTCTAAAAAACTCAGAAAGGATACTGCACAATTTTCATCTGATTGTATTCTCCACAAAAGGAAAAAAACCAATCAAACCCTGTTTGATTCAAGGAGAGGTGGCTCTTTTTATCCATATTAAAAATGCAAAAGCAGTTGATACATCAATATTTTCCTTAAGCTGGTGGTGTCACCACATCCTGAGCATGACAGCAGCATTACAGAACAGTGGCAGATTTTTAGCCGTTTGTTGCTTCATTCCCCATGTATTTTAAAAGGGAATATATACTAAGGCACCAAATATAATTTCAAAGTGTTGAATCTGAATATATTAAAAAAAGCATATATGTAATGTTCTTTGTGAATTTAGCTGGTCATTGTGGACTACACAGTCATGTCAATCCAGAAGATAAATGTACTGTTTCTGGAGGTGTATGTGCAGCCTTTTAAGATCCTGGTGTTTCTTTTCATTTCCATGTGACTGAGTAGCCATGGCCAGCCGTAGGATTTACCATGACTGCCAGTTCTGCCTTGCACACTGAGGCACTGGCACGTCTCTTGCTCCACCTTTAGTTGTTCGGGGCATGGCTTCTCTGAGTCAGAAGAACTCAGTGAAGTGTCCAGAAGAGAGAAAATATCAAATTGTTGTTCCTTCCATTTTAGGCTACTAGTGTATGAGGGAGTTTTTCCCCTTTATATTCTTGGTTTCTGTGAGTATTTACCAGCTTTGGATTGGTGAACATGCTTTAATTGTCGTGCAGAGCACATATCTCTGAAATGCAAAGGAAAGTACAATCTGTATTTTCTGTTGGTAGTGAGTTAGGTAACTGGGTTCAAAAGAGGGGAAAGGACTCAGAGAAATCTATAGTTTGTTTTTAGAAGGGATCAAAATAAGTGACTTACTGGCCTCCATGGCCTCAGGACCTCAGAGCAGTTTCTTCTGTTCCCTTGCTGTAGATGATGCTGTGTGGAGAGGGCATCAGAGCCGTGGAGCGTGGAGGGCAATGCACTGAGAGGGCTGCAGATCTGTGACTCCCAGTTTCCTATCCTGCCAGTAAAGCTTTTGTTTTTTTAATTACTACTTCACTGGTGATATAAATTAATGATTGGTATGGGTCTGAAGCAACCTTGTCATCAGAGAATATTTGGTTAGTGTTGACATACTTGTTCCCTGCAAACATGAATCATCCATCTGCCTTTGGCAGGCTTGCCCTGTGGCTCTGCTATAATGTGTTTCACCAGTGTGGCTGAAATTAAAATGTCACTATTAAACATGGCAGAATCAGATGCTCTCTGGGCACCGCATCTATTCATGTTCTTGCTTCCTGTGTAGTTATTTCTGACAATTTAATAGGACAGCTGTATTCTGGCATAAAATAATACATTCATATATCCTCAACGCATGGGGAGCTAAATGCTTTCAGAGCACTATTTCCTTGCATACATGTGTCTTTCATGCATGGCAGAAGCAGTAATGCTCATGTAACACCATGTTGCTGCTTAGTCCATTAGGCAGTGTAAAGTCAAAATTAATTGTCCTGCAGGACCGTATAGAGTGGGTCTCTAAAAGCAGTTGCTGGAGCTGTTTGCAGCTGCTGCATCAGCCAGGCTCCCTCCTCGTGAGCAGTTATTGACTCTGGGCTGTTGAATTCAGGGCTCTGGAGGTTGCTCGGTGGGAAAAGCCTTCAGTCGTTGCTTGGCAGCTCTGTCACTGGAAGGTCACAGAAAGGGCAGTTCAGTCTCCAAACCCAATTAGGGCCTGAGTTGGCACCTCTTCAATCACTGGGGAAAATCCCACGGAGCAGGTTGGCTCCCAAGGCAGGCTTTTTCACCCAGCCTCTCTAGTGAGACAGCCAACAAATGCGTCCATTTGTGTCACTTGGGCTGTCAGAAATACCCTTTGCTGTCATGAAATGGCTGAGCATCTGGTTCAGAAAGGTAAAGAGCCAGGTAAGGGATTAGAAGCCCACCACAGTTGAATTTGGACCAGTGAGCTATATGTGTGCATCTGCATTCCTCCCGTTACTCATATCTAGAGCTGCCTAATTCCTCAGATCAAATCACTTAACTCTTATGAGCAGCTGTAACTTGCAAGTTGAATAAAGTCCAACTGCTGAAAATATTAATGAAAAACATAAAACCAAGGCTCTGTTTTATCAGGTACCAACAATACTGCTTTAATTCCTCCTCCTCCAAAGATTTTTTGTGTGTGCTGGGTTGTGCTTTTCATCCCAGGTGGCTGCAATTTCTAGTGAAAATAAGTTGAGCCATGAAAGGTTGACCCACTCGCCTCTGAATTGCTTTTTATGTGAGTCCCTCAGGGCCCAATTCTACCCATAGAAGTGAGAATGACAGTTATCAACATATATAGGAAGTATGTCAATGTGCACAAAGAAAAAGGTGGACCCCAGACTGGTCTGAGTGGTCTTAAAAATATAGATTTCCTGTGAAATGGTGATTAAAGGAGAAGCAAGGGATAATTAGAAAATTAGACTGATATACTAGCAGTTATATCTATATGTGGGTTTATATTAGCTCTTTCAGACAAGCACAAGATCAGAAAATCCCTTATGACTCACTTAAACTAGTGTGTAAAATTTGGTTAGTGTCTGATCAGCTCCTTTGATCAGTCTAGTCTAGACTGTTGCCAGTGCATGTACTAAACCCACAGTCCCCTTAAGTGCAGGCCTACTTAAGTGAATCAAATAACATATAAAAAGGTTATAAAAAGTGTTCACTGCTTGAGTAAATTAATCTGGTTCAAAACTGAATACTTTAGTAATTACAAAAATAAAAGCAAACGTGTTGTTACAGAAAAGAAGTGGTAGAGTTCTTAATTCATGTTTAAATGTCTCAGAAATAAAAAGAAAAATCAACAAACTTTTATTGTTTTTCATTGGATAGGCACTTTTGTAAGCCCTCAGTGTATCCAGATTCCATAAAGGAGAAAAAAATCTGGCAAAAATTCAGCACAAATTTGTTTCAACAAATTGAAGAGTTACAACCACCCTGTCTGTCTCATTTCAAGCACACAGTATTGTTTTTAACTGTAGCAGTGGAGGGCCAGTGAGAGCCTTCAATATGTAGGTTGCACTCCTGCCTACCTATAAGTTCTACACCGGATTATTTGCAAGTGAGTGCTGGAGGTCCAGGAGCAGTAAATTTGTTACCTGTCAGAGCAAAGCAGTTTTCCCCTCATCACTAGAGCCTCTTCCTACATCTCACATTGTAGTACCATCCTGAACCTGTCTTTTCTTTGCCACATGAATCTCAGAAATGTGAACAGTTCCTTTCCTCATAGATAATGCTCTCGCCTTTTGCATACTAGCAATAGTAGGGTGACCATTTGGAGACAATTTTACTCCAATGACCTATCCACAAGACCTGGAGCCAGTAATTTTACAAACCTGGTTTGTACCTGAGCTGGTTTTCTCGAGATGCCTATGTTTTGAGTTTAGAGGTTTAAGTTTTTAATCTTCGTGTGCCTACCATATTTGTTGGTTGCATTACAATGCCATCAGAACACCTGGCATAGAATCAATGACAGCAAATTCATCAAATTATCAAGGGAAGTAAGCTAGCTCGTAAATAGCACATCAGTGGTATGAGAAGATCACAGAAATGAGGCCATTTAAAACACAGAGAAACTGGAATCCAAGTGGCAAATGCTTGTTTTAGCTATACCAGATTCTGTCTAAATTCAAGAGGAGAGATGGTACACTGCTACTATCCAAACACTAAATTAATCTCCTGATGGCTGAGAAAAAAATCTAAACTAGGCATTAAAGTCTTTAAGATGACACATAATTTACCCAGCACTTCAAAAGCACCAACCATTACTCTCCTTACAGAGCTGCCTAAATAATGGAAAGATAAAGGAATAGGATTCTGTGAGTGAATACATGACTGCAGAATGCAATAGGAATATTGGGTAAATTCTTCCCTCTTGTGACATGTATTCCAGTCAGTGAAGGAATCCACCAGGGAAGGATTGGGCCGTATTCTGTGTGCAGCATAGCAGATTGTTAAGAGGCAACAGGCAGGTATTTGAGAGAATTTCCTCTCTGCAACTTGCAGAAGTGTGCCTAATATCCCCTGGCTGATCTATGCTCATTCCATTACTTGTCATCTTTTGGCAGATAACTAGTTAAATTTGTGTTAAATAGGATTCACTTTGCTATTTCCATTTGCTGTTGGAGTAGAAATGTTCTGATGTGATATATGACCAATCAATAATTGGAAAGTATGAGTCATTTGAAGCCAGTAGTTTAGAGAGTGTCAGCCACAACTTATATTAAAATCTGCAAAGAGTTGTTCTACAATCAGTGATTCTGCAGCATCTCCTCTGGGTGTCTGCATTTCACTTAATAAGGATACCCTGTAGATATCAACTGAAATAACTCTTGCCTTTGTTGCTCTGATGTTTTTGTGAGCTCTGAAATGAACTTGGCTTATGCAAATAAACTTCATTATCCAGTCTAAAGGATGCAGGGCAGAAATTATTATCCTGTTCTGCTGGCCACCTCCGTAGGAAAGAAATGGCTTTATTTGACTATGATTCTGAAGAGAATAAGAGTGTGACTGTACCCTGTGGTTTCCTGGGTATTTTTTACTTTTTTTTTTTTTTTTCCTGTACTGATGATGTTTTATTACTGTTGCAGGGCTATAATAATCCGAAATGGTGAAGTCATTCCAATGTCTTCAGAATTCACTCCAGAGACTGAGCGCCAGCGACTTCAGTATCTGGTAAGAGACCTGAGGACCAAATCAGGTGTTGCTGATGATCAGCATTGCCCAGTAATACCTAAGGCTCGGAGAAATGCTGCTGAGTTACTGTGGCTTAGTGAAGGATGATGTGTTCACTGAACACCAGTGACTGATCATGTTTGTCTTTTAGCCATCAGCAAAACTGAAGAAAAGCCTAGTGATGCAAATCTCAATGAAAGGAGTCTCATCTCTTCAGTGAAGACCATTGATATTGCAGAGTTTGATTGATTTATTCTAATAGTATGCTGGTAGTATCTCGATCAGGGAAAATATGTCCAATTTAGAGGTGACCTTAGTGAACATTAGTAGATGGGGGATAGGATGGGTGATCAAAGTCTGATTTTATTTAGTGTAGCAGCACCTGTAAAGCTGGGACAGGATGGATGACTAGCTGAGGACATATGGGATGCTTTGTACACCAGGCTGTGTTTGCTGGTAAGCTACCCAAGTAACATAAGTCAAAATGCATAGTGTTATTTTTCGTGCAAACAATTCTGTTACTTAAAGTTTTTCAGCAATGGTCAGGTTGGTTGGTTGAAGTTGGTTGACTGTTTGTCAAAATGTCATTCCTAACATGGCTGAGAAATTTCTTTTTTGCTTCTTCTGGTCTCCTGCTTTTTCCTCTTAGAAATTTAAGCTCTGTCAGCCTTACCTGACTTGGAGTGGACAAGCCAAAGCTTATGGGATTCCCTGGTCTCAGGATATCTCTTTTCTTCAGCCTGGCCCAAGCAATGTGGTTTGAAACTAGACAAAATGCTGATGGTTGAAAGGTGGGGTGGAAGGTTCTAAAGAAAAAATTTTAAGTATTTCCTCAATTGTCACGTTTGATTTTTTTTCAGTCAGGTTCACTGTCTTGAAGCTGAAAATTTTAGAGGGAAAACTGCTTTTGGGAGTATTCATATTCAGGGAAACAAATGGAAAAAAGGCCTAATAAATATTTACAGTTCAGTAAATTTAAAATAATTTGTTAGCCTTTAAAATAAAAGGTATCTTTAGCATCTAGGGAGTCTGCTGCTTCTGTAGGAAATACAGGATAAAATATTGCCTACAAGGATTGTTTTTCTCTTTTGATGTCCTTTCTGGCTCATATTTGAAACCAGTAGCTGATCTGAAAAGTATTTCTGCTGTTTTCTTTCTGCTCTGGAAAATTCCTTTACCTTTGTTTGTTTATTTTAATTCTATATGTAACAAATATGCCAGGTCTATGGGTATCGTGTTCAAAGGGAATACATGCAAGACAGTGGGAGCGTGAAACAAAATTAGAGATAATTTCAAATGTGACATTCCATAAATAATATTTTTACTCTCTTGTTAAAAAAAAAAAAAAAAGATGACCCCTAATTTCTTACAAGGTTGGCATAAACATTACACTCCAGAGGTTGCGTCTGTCTAGCTGATTAGAATCCAAATAATTTTACACACTTTGTCTGGCCCCAGGTTCTGCTATCAGTCTATTCCACCGTGAACATCTCTCTTCTGCTGTTTCTGTCTGAAAGTTAGTTACTTTGGATGTATTTTCTTATTTGCAGTTAGAGCTGAGTTTCTTTGCTTCAAACGTATGACACTGCTCTTCCTGCACAATAGGAAGAAAATCTCTTAATCATTTTAGCATTCGTGTTTTACTTGGTAAATGCAGAGATGCTGTTCACTGTGGGGAAGTTACTGCACAAGTAAAGGGAGGATATGGATTTACAGCCTGCAGGCTACTGAGTGCTGGTTCCCTGTGCAGTAGACACTTGGCACGATCAGGGTGAAGGAGCTTTCCTCTGCCTTTAGTGCCTATTGATTGCTTCAGCCACACAGGAGGTTCATTTAGGTCTTCTTTTCTGAACCTTAGCTTCCAGTGGAAAGAAATCCATAGGATAATGAGTTGTTCAGGTCATGTGAATATCTCTATATGAAGCCCTCCAGCCTAGTCTTACACAAAATTATTCTTCAGCTAGTACTGGTTAAGTGACTGAGAGGGAAGGGAAACAAATATTTTCCCTATCTGGCTGTGATTTTAATGCAGATTTATTGCTGTGCATCCAAGAATGGCCTTGGGCATAGGCCTCTGGCATGGAAAACTTAAAAGAACTAGTTGACTATCCAGTCATTCTGACTTTTAAGCAGCTCTGGGCATGGTCATCACTCCATAGGAGGGCAGTGGGAAGACAGCATACAGTTGCAGATTTCAGGCAGGTCATGTGGCAGAGACAGATTTCTGCGTCGGGCAGCTTGTGAGAGTATTGCAGAAGGCAATCAATCTTTCAGTCAGAGAGCACTTCCTAAGGCATAAGTGTGAAAGCTTTGCACCAGTATTCCCTTGGTCTTTCAGCTTCTGTAGAGGTTCAGTGTGCCATGCTGCTTCCCTCCCACTGGTAGGCATTCACAAGCCTCCTTTTGTTTTGAATTTCTGTGTCTCTTTTCTTTTTAGCACTGTAGCAGGAAAGCTCCTCACAGCACTTGGGAAAAGCCCTGGCTTTCCCTATCAGTGTATCTTGAGGGAAAACAAAATCCAGTATTGACTGGGAGTTGCTCTGGTACATTCGTCAATACCTTCAGGCAATGACTGCCAGGAGGAATTTTTCTTTCATCTTCTGAGGAAACTATTAATTTCAGTCATGATAGTCTAAATTACAACAGTAAATGGCATATTTTTTGTTACTTATTCCCTTGGAAAATATGTTTAAAATGAATGATGAATTGAGTGTACTGCAGATGGGTGCACTTCTATTAATTATCAAAGTTGTTCTTCGGAGATGTCATGTGAGTTCTGCATGGTGTTTCTGTGTACCACTGAGATGGTTCGGACTTGGCTCCCTGCCAAATGCCCAACCCCCCGGTAGCAGCCCCTCTCTTCCCCCCTTTCTACTTCCCCCAGGGCAAAGGAAAAAAACTATGCAAATTGAAGAACCCGAAAATCAAGCTAGTTATATAAAAAATATATTTTATGTATATTACAGTTAAGATGCTATGTACACAGCAAACAGGAATCCAAACACCCCCCTAAGGGATAGGGAAAGGGGAAAAAGGGACAAAAGGAAACAAAAAGGGACACCGAATAGATATGCGCAATCAAACCCGAGAACTAGTAAAATAACTAGTAAAACAAATCTCACCACGTCCCTTAGAAAGCAGGATTGGCAGACACTGCCAGCACTCTCCAAGCTTCCACGTGGCAGGTCAGTGGATGCTGCAGGCCTCAGCCTTAGATAAGCGAGACCAGCGCAGGGACCCACTGTTCCCGAACTCTGGCGGAAGAGAAGAGAACGAAGGCTGCTCCTCCCTTCTTATTTATACCACAATTTATGTAAAAACCGTATGGAATACTGGGAACACTGCCCCTTCCTTGGTTACAAACTGGTAACCACGGAAGGCCTAGATTAAAACCACCACAACCATGCCTGTGTTTGTAGCTGGGCAGCCCCTTTAAAAGTTCACCAAAGACAGTGCACCGTGACTACCAGGGCAGGTGTTTCTGCTAGTAGAGGCTGGGTCGGGGTGGCCCCTAGTGGCAGCGAGCCATGGGTGCTCTTTGTTTTTGACATCATTCAAACAAAGGTTCGTGAGCCCAAACAGGCATGGGTTCAAAGAGGACCTATTCTTATTTCATTGCTCAGATGAGGATAAAATGATACTAACTCACCTACTGAAGGATGCCTGGGCAACCTGAGCCTGAAAAGGAAATGCAGCTAGATCTTGTAAATGTCCAGTCAATGCTTCAATTACTGGTCAGATGAACTTCTCTTACAGTTTGTGGCCCCCTTCATCATTCAATGTAGGATTGCTTTGACCATCTGACACACTGCATGATGCTGTGGTCTAAGAAATGTGTGGTTTGATGGAAAGGGTCCTGGCCTTTCATAAGATGAGAGACCAATCCAGGGATGGATTTGGCTTCTACTTCCCTCTTTCCTTCTACCACCACCTCCTTTAGTTTTAATCTCTCTTTTGCTTAAACGTGTCCATATGGTAACAGAATCATTTGCAAAACTTCTGGGTGCATTGTGCTGTGTGTGCCATTGCGAGTAGTAGTCCATATAGTAGAATATCCTATTGGAGATAAGAGTATAAAGTTTTAAGATGTAGTTGATGTATGGGAAAACAACAATTCTGAAAATAACACAGAATGCAGTAAAGCCACTATTGCCAGTGATGTTCCAGTGCAGTGCATACTGGAGGAGTTGGAAAAGACATAAGCAGGCCTTACTGAGGTACAAAAAGATACATGCAGTGTTTCCTGCCACCTAATTAACTACCAGCTAGTGTGCAAGTCTAGGTTTATCTTAATTTCATGTTTGCTTTTCTGATCACCAGGAAACACAGCAGGAAGTAAATGACCTTTTTAAAGAAACGTGACTAATATTTCCTTAAGCGAAATCCATTTTAAACAACTAATGTTAAGCATAGTACATTCAGCCACAAAATACACCATGAAATGGCAGAGTACCAAAAACACACGTTGCAGGCTGTGCCAGATTTATGCCAAAAAGCTGGAATAGCTTCAGAAAGAGAAAATATGAAAAATGTTCCCATTCCGTAACACAGAATAACAACGTTGTACAAACCTATCATAAAGATATAAAGAAAGTGTTTGATAGTCACTCTTTATTAAAGTTCAGATTCTCTATGTGGTGTTTCTGATCTGAGGTTCTTGCAAATTGAGACTAAACAAATTAAAAAATGGAAAATATGGTACCTTTCACTAGGTGAAATTCTGCTAGTTCACTTACCATTTTTATTTCTCATGTGATCACTTGAGGGGATTTTGTGTTGTCTGCTTGTATATCTTCTTGAAAGATCTGTAGGCTTTTAAAGTTTTGCTCTTTATTTATTTTCTAGTTCTGCTGCCTAGCATGGTTTGGTTGAGGTGTCAAGGAGTCTTGCCTCATAGTAAACGGAGAACAGTTCTCAACAAAACCTACTGGAAGTTGCAGCTGAGTTTTATAATAGAACATTCTTATCTCTGTAAAATTAGCAGTGAAGCATCAAAAATAACTGTTTAAAAAAAGGGTAAAAAACATGGAAAATTAAAAAATAAAGCAAAGCCTAGCAAAAATCACCATTTCCTCACATAAAAATTCAGATCGCAGACACCAGAAGCTTTCAAATCGCTCATTTCCCTCTGTTTCACTGACGCCAAAAATATTAGAATCGAGTTAAGATCTCTAGTTTGTAAATCAAGCACTGAGGCTTGGCTGTGGAAGAGAAATCTTATTTGAACATTAGCAGTCCACTGGTAACTGCCAGCTTTATTAATCTTATTTCAGTTGTGACCTCAGACTTTCCATCTGAGTAAATCNGTATATTACAGTTAAGATGCTATGTACACAGCAAACGGGAATCCAAACACCCCCCGAAGGGATAGGGAAAGGGGAAAAAAGGGACAAAAGGAAACAAAAAGGGACACCGAATAGATATGCGCAATCAAACCCGAGAACTAGTAAAATAACTAGTAAAACAAATCTCACCATGTCCCTTAGAAAGCAGGCTTGGCAGACACTGCCAGCACTCTCCAAGCTTCCACGTGGCAGGTCAGTGGATGCTGCAGGCCTCAGCCTTAGATAAGCGAGACCAGCGCAGGGATCCACTGTTCCCGAACTCTGGCGGAAGAGAAGAGAACGAAGGCTGCTCCTCCCTTCTTATTTATACCACAATTCATGTAAAAATCGTATGGAATACTGGGAACACTGCCCCTTCCTTGGTTACAAACTGGTAACCACGGAAGGCCTAGATTAAAACCACCACAACCATGCCTGTGTTTGTAGCTGGGCAGCCCCTTTAAAAGTTCACCAAAGACAGTGCACCGTGACTACCAGGGCAGGTGTTTCTGCTAGTAGAGGCTGGGTCGGGGTGGCCCCTAGTGGCAGCGAGCCATGGGTGCTCTTTGTTTTTGACATCATTCAAACAAAGGTTCGTGAGCCCAAACAGGCATGGGTTCAAAGAGGACCTATTCTTATTTCATTGCTCAGATGAGGATAAAATGATACTAATTCACCTACTGAAGGATGCCTGGGCAACCTGAGCCTGAAAAGGAAATGCAGCTAGATCTTGTAAATGTCCAGTCAATGCTTCAATTACTGGTCAGATGAACTTCTCTTACAGTTTGTGGCCCCCTTCATCATTCAATGTAGGATTGCTTTGACCATCTGACACACTGCATGATGCTGTGGTCTAAGAAATGTGTGGTTTGATGGAAAGGGTCCTGGCCTTTCATAAGATGAGAGACCAATCCAGGGATGGATTTGGCTTCTACTTCCCTCTTTCCTTCTACCACCACCTCCTTTAGTTTTAATCTCTCTTTTGCTTAAATGTGTCCATATGGTAACAGAATCATTTGCAAAACTTCTGGGTGCATTGTGCTGTGTGTGCCATTGCGAGTAGTAGTCCATATAGTAGAATATCCTATTGGAGATAAGAGTATAAAGTTTTAAGATGTAGTTGATGTATGGGAAAACAACAATTCTGAAAATAACACAGAATGCAGTAAAGCCACTATTGCCAGTGATGTTCCAGTGCAGTGCATACTGGAGGAGTTGGAAAAGACATAAGCAGGCCTTACTGAGGTACAAAAAGATACATGCAGTGTTTCCTGCCACCTAATTAACTGCCAGCTAGTGTGCAAGTCTAGGTTTATCTTAATTTCATGTTTGCTTTTCTGATCACCAGGAAACACAGCAGGAAGTAAATGACCTTTTTAAAGAACCGTGACTAATATTTCCTTAAGCGAAATCCATTTTAAACAACTAATGTTAAGCATAGTACATTCAGCCACAAAATACACCATGAAATGGCAGAGTACCAAAAACACACGTTGCAGGCTGTGCCAGATTTATGCCAAAAAGCTGGAATAGCTTCAGAAAGAGAAAATATGAAAAATGTTCCCATTCTGTAACACAGAATAACAACGTTGTACAAACCTATCATAAAGATATAAAGAAAGTGTTTGATAGTCACTCTTTATTAAAGTTCAGATTCTCTATGTGGTGTTTCTGATCTGAGGTTCTTGCAAATTGAGACTAAACAAATTAAAAAATGGAAAATATGGTACCTTTCACTAGGTGAAATTCTGCTAGTTCACTTACCATTTTTATTTCTCATGTGATCACTTGAGGGGATTTTGTGTTGTCTGCTTGTATATCTTCTTGAAAGATCTGTAGGCTTTTAAAGTTTTGCTCTTTATTTATTTTCTAGTTCTGCTGCCCAGCATGGTTTGGTTGAGGTGTCAAGGAGTCTTGCCTCATAGTAAATGAAGAACAGTTCTCAACAAAACCTACTGGAAGTTGCAGCTGAGTTTTATAATAGAACATTCTTATCTCTGTAAAATTAGCAGTGAAGCATCAAAAATAACTGTTTAAAAAAAGGGTAAAAAACATGGAAAATTAAAAAATAAAGCAAAGCCTAGCAAAAATCACCATTTCCTCACATAAAAATTCAGATCGCAGACACCAGAAGCTTTCAAATTGCTCATTTCCCTCTGTTTCACTGACGCCAAAAATATTAGAATCGAGTTAAGATCTCTAGTTTGTAAATCAAGCACTGAGGCTTGGCTGTGGAAGAGAAATCTTATTTGAACATTAGCAGTCCACTGGTAACTGCCAGCTTTATTAATCTTATTTCAGTTGTGACCTCAGACTTTCCATCTGAGTAAATCTTTATGAAATGCAGTCTCTCCCCATCACTTTACCTTTTCAAAAAAGGAAATTCTTGTTTTCAAGTGGAAAAATGCTAAAAGCCTGTAATATTTTTCTTCTGGACCTGTGATTCAGACTAGTAAGTAATCTCATAATCTAAAGTTTAGATAACTTCATTTTGATGTCTGGTATGAAGGTTTTTTCTTTGAATAAGACTTTTTGTAGGCAGGCGAAAGTAGTCTTTAGCTTGAAGTGGTTTGTAATGTTTTAATTAAGACAGGCTGTGCATTTTTAAAAGTGAACTGAATTGCACTTTCAAAGCAGACTGACTTCATTGCTTACAATATCATAAACTAGAAAGAATTAATAAAAACCAAAAAACATCCACTTCTTTGTTTTCATACAAACAACAAATATCATTCATGTGTTATGATGCATCAAATCATTAGGAACGTTCCATCTTTTTTGCAACTGGAGGAAAAAGTAAATAAAATAAAAAGCTTACATGTACTTTTAAATAGAGCGTCCAGAGTTCTGAAAGTATAAAAAGCCTCATGTGGACTAATACTGCTGGATCTCTCAAAAGTCATTAGTGCTTCTGAACCACTTTTCTAATGAGGAACAGTGATTCAATTAGAGGATCCTTGAAAACAATATTTGGGTGGAGAAGGGGACCTTGACTGACTGCAGACTGCAGGAAAAAAGATCTATTTCCCTTAAGTGTACATAGAGAACCTGTTGGAGCTCCTGTTCCAGGAAGGGATCGCAATGTCAAGATCACACTTGCATGCTTGAAAGCCACCTCTTGAAAGCAGAATCCAGTTTTGTTCGCTACACACAGCAATCTCTCTCAGTCCCATTTCAGCTGAGCTCAAGGTGTTTTCTGGAAGGATGTCTGGTGACAGGAACAGGGACAAGCTGATAGAAGGTTAGCATTGTGATGTGTTGAGCCTGATCCAGCAAGTGAAAGCAGTCTCAGCCCTTAAATGCAGGAAATATTTTATTGTGAACTATCTGCATGGTAGATTCCAGGTAGATCAATAAAGGCTTCCACTGCTTCCTGCTGCTCACCTTTGATGAGCACTAGATTTATGACCAACCCACAAACTAAACCCAGCTCATTTCATCTGCCATGATGGCAGCTGCTGCTGAAGATAAGACAGACTTTATTACCTTAACTGGCTGGATAAGAAAAAGGAGTTACCTGCAAAAAAGTTAAGAAATGCAACTTTTTTCAGTTCCCTAGCCAGTTTGTGTCTTCACAAGAGCTCACTCACAATGTCGCTTTGAGGAGGGAGGGAGAAAGGCTTTTTTGTGAAAGTATTAAAGAAAAAGGAGTGAGGTTTATTTCAGAAACAAGAAATAAAATATGTTTAGAATTAACCTATTGTGTTGAGCAATATGTCTATAAATTCAATCCAAAAATTTACACAGTAGACAAATTGCCTCGAGATGCTCTTCAGTATGGTCAGCTTTGGAGAACATGAGCCTCAGGCATGACTCTGGCAAAGAAGTTCAGAAAGCTTCAGCTTCACTCCACGTACGCTCCTCCAAGTCTCTGCTTGCTCCATGGCTTTATATTTGATCATTTCCTTCTCTCAAGTTGATGACCTACAAAAGAAGATGTGTTCTGTTTTACAAAGCCCTGCAGACTCCTTCAGGGTCAATGGATGAAGTGTACTTTAGAGATCCCAAATTTTGAGGAGCAGGGAGAAGTGAATGATTTTGAGGGCAAGAGGACTGCTATAAGGCTGCTGCTGGACACCAGGCAGGGTCAGAACTGGTGAATATGCACATTGCTGAAATGGAGCACATCATCTTCCTTATTTAAAAAGAAGGGTGGAGGAAGAGGTGGAATTTGTGTGGGAAGGGAACGGGAAGGGATGGTAATGCTACCTCATTAAAAATAGATAATGTCTTGTTTTATGTGGTATCTGTGGTTTAATTTCTGCCCACAGGCTTACATGCAACCCCACTTGCTGGGAAATGAATTCACACATTTAGAGTTTCCACGGAGGGTGCAGCGCAAGGAAGTTGGGAAGAGAATGCTCTATCGTGACTTCAACATGACTGGCTGGTAAGAATGGGTCCTTCTCGACATGGGCTCGACCTTCTCCCCAACAAATGCCTGCTTTGTACATGTCTTTGATTAGTGTAAACTGGTCAAACATGGAGGGGCACCCCTCCATACTAAAAGGAAAGGCATTTCCTTCTTTCAGATGTATCTTTCTTTTAGAAGTTATTGTTTTAAATAAGTTGACCTCCCCACAGAGCCAGGACCTTGTTTCATGTTAATGTGGGAGTACTCAAAGCAGAGCAAACACATAAAGGGGAAGATGTTCCAGGGGATGTTTCTGAAAGCTAAACAATTTTCCTATCTTGGAAGTAGCTTTTTATAGATTCTGGATCAGAATCTGAGCTGTGATGCTTTTGCATACTGAGGAATGCTTTCAGAAGGGAGGAGTTGCCTCCCATACTCCAGTGCAGCTGGCCCCTGATTTGGGTAATTCCTTGAGGAATTGTTTTAGAGATGGGTTTATCTGAACAAAAGTCATAACCGGCCCAAAATGAAAAGGCTTAAATGAACAGCATTGACTTAAAGAAGTGAAGACAGAAAGAATGATGATTTTTTTTTTTTGCCTATGGCTAAATGTCTTCATTGTTTTTTACTGGTTCAAGAGGCTTCTTCTCAAATGAGTCCCACTCACTTGGAGAAGCCCTAATCTTTGCTGTTGTGAGTTCTGTGTGTGACCTATAAAGGCAAAAGCCCAGTATATGCAAATGATCTTAATTTCCATGATGTTTGTGTTTTATCCTCTGTAGTAAATGTCATTTGAGGAACGGGAAGAATAGAAAGGATTAAAAAATAAAGAGTGAATTCTTGTAGGTTTGGAAACTTGGATGCTCACTGCAACAACCGCTCCACATCACTTCTGATTTGTCCCCTGCTTTATACACCATAAATATAATGATGTTTTAATGGCAGAATAATGGTCTAAGTTTAATATTATCTGGAGTGTTTGTGCAGAACATGTAAGTCTGGGAATAGCCATCATTGTCTCTCATCTTGAACAGCTGCTAGTAGAATATGCAGTCTCACCCTGGGAACGATGACTTCACATTTTAAAAAGGCTACAGGCATGAGCAAAAGAATAGGAACAGAATGAGAACATTGGATCAACTGAGGACTTAGACTGCAAAACATTTGGAACATCATGAGACACTCTCCCAATTTCTGCAAAAGAAGGTTTTTTGTTAAACTCTCTGATGTCTCTGGAGGCATCATTAAAGAATGGTTTCATATAGACTTCCAAAATTCTTTTTCAAGTTGTGACATGCTATTGGGGGGGGAAAAAAAAACCAGCAAAGTGTAGGCTTCTGGTTTGGGGGGAGAGCTACAGAAGTATCATGGGCCAGGAACTTCCTGAGAGGAGGATAAGAACAGATTTCTTTTATCATGGTTGGAAGGCAAAGAGGGTTTCTTCAGAGTCATGAGAGTTGTTTTACATTTTCCCAGTTGGCTACTGGTCTGGAAAGGAAATGAGGCTAGAGTGGTAAAGCTGCAGCAGTGGCAGGTGACACCACAGCTCTTTTCCTATTAAACAAGGAGGACCATGAGGAACTGGAAAGAATTAAGTGATTTACATGAAGGGGCATCGCAATGATCAAACTTGGTGGGGATAAATACAAAGTAAAGCATGAAGAACAGGAAGATGTTTGCGCACACTAGAGGTTCCAAATGAACCATGAGAGCCATATCAAGAAGCTCAGTGGAAGTCCTGCCTACCGTGATTTTTCCAGACCAAATCACCAGCAGAATGTTGGGATTCATACAGAGTTGGAAAGGTTAAAAATTAAGGGAAGAAATAACTCCTTATATCAGTTTCTACTTCATTTGTGAATCTGTGAGTACCGTATTCAAAATGATTATTGCATAGCTAATACTGTTTGGCATTAGAAGAAGATAAATAAGAAGGAACTCAAATGTAGAATAAGTAGTAAGGTAGAAGAGCATTAGTAAGTTGAACTGGAAGATTTGATTCAATGTGTTGTGTTTCAGTACTGGTGTGTGAACTCTCTTAACTCTAACATATAGCGGGTAGGAGAAGACAGTTCTTTTCCTGTTGTTTTTTCTGTATTTCCTGAAGTGTAGGACACATGTTGATCCAGTTACAGCTTCTAATATGGTCAATGCAGAAATTGTCACCAGTTTAGTATAAATGTGCTTAGCTGCAAGCAGTTATTCTGGAATAAATGCTTGCACTGTGACTTGAAAATTCAAGTCTGAATTCATTGCAGTATTGTCCCAGAAATAGCTGGCCTGTGCCAAGCAAAAGCATGTGGGGACTGTGATGAGGCTACCTCTCCCTGTTCCTTCTGATTGCTGGTTGGAAGTGGAAGATGGGGGTTACATTTTTTTCCTGAATAAAAGAATTGGAATCTTTTAACTGCACCATATCTCACAGCTAGTGCATCAGTTACCTCTTTGTTTGGTTGCCTCAGGACAGTAAAATGATGAGGGAATTGCTCTATCACCATACATTTGTCTAAATCAGAGCCCTTCTAAATAAGGATCTATTTCTTTTTGCAAAGTATTTGCCCAACATATTTCTATTCCATTGAATTGTGTGCAGTGATCTCCTAAGCAGAGGAGAAGCAGCCAATTACTATTTATCTAAAAGTCTGGGTCAATTTTAATGATTGGTATTGTGGACAAGACATTAGAGTTCCAGTTTAATGGGCCCTCAGAGGTGATGGTTTGGGATGACTAGGGTTTCTTACTGCTTGTTTTCCACTTCAAGTGTTCGGCTTCTAATTTCTTCCCTTTCTAATTCATAGGTTTAACTGATGCAGCAGGACAAAATGGCCGAGGACATGTCTGTTTTGCATTTGTTTCTAAGGACACTATCTACCATGGAGAATAAATTAGCATATATATTCATTTCTAGAAAATGTCAGATGGAGCTTTGGCCATCCAGAGCTTGATACACTAAAACACTGCTGAATTTTTATCACATACAAGGCAGATGATCAGTTGTCTGAATTTTTTTTTTTTTGTTCTCTGACCTCACAGTGTGTTGACACCTGCACATACATGTAAAGAGATGCAGGTAATGTTAGGAAGAAACAGCCACTCTTACACTTAATTACCGAATCCTTGAGTGAGAAAATGTAAAATACTCTCTGCTCTGATGTGTCCTCAGGAAAATGAACTGGTTGATTTTACAATTCAGGATACTAACTGTGTTTTCTGTTAGAAGCTGTATGACTTTTTTTCTTCATTTTTATCCTCCTTTGCTCTGGAGCTTTTCAGATTCTCAACAATGGCTTGGCTTGACCAGCTTGTTTGGATTACAAAAGGTTATTGTCTTTGGGTTTGTCATGATGTATTTGGCCCTTTATTTTTTCTTTCTGCTTTTTCTTTCTCTTTTTTTTCATGTGAAGTTTCCACACTGTCTTTGTCTCCACAGCCCACAGTGGTAGCAGAGCTGCCAAGTTTCCCCACAGCGTTAGGACAACCACTGATCCAGCAATGTGTACCGCATTACTGGTCCAGGCCGCCTGTAACTGCTCTGAGACTAGCCTTTCCCTTCTCACTCCAGCTCTCCTACCCTTTCTTCTCTCTCTGCAGTGGCAGCTGTGGTGAGAAAGAACGCTGTATTAAATATATCTAAAATAAATCCCATTTTGGTGGGAGCCGGGAGCCGCGTTTCCTGCACCCTCACCCCTTGTGCATTGTGGTTGAACAGCCGCTGCAAAACGTGTACTGTAGCTGGCAAGACGTCTTAAGAGCAGTGTCTCCTGCTGCACAAGCCTCCGAGCTGTCTCAAGCCATAATTTGCTGGCAGACGTCTGTGTTACTGACAGTCTTGCACAGCTGGGTCTCTGGGCTGGGGTTTTCAGGCCCATGGCTTGCAGAGGTTAAACTTGTAGCAGAGAGAAGTGTCCTGGTGACTTTGGCAAGTCTTGGTAACAAAACTATCAGGGAAGACTTAAAGGCCATGCAAGCAGAGGGTGGCTAGTACTAAAAAGGGGGAGCAAGTAAGGTGAGGTAGAAATATATAGTGTGAAAACGGCAGACCTGATGATAACAGCTCAAGCCTTTAAAGGACTGCACAGAATTAGTCCTCTCTGTCTCTGCCTTTTACTTAAACTAACCAACTGTGTCTAAACTTTTTTCTTCACTTGTGGGTAAATCCAGTGTGAACAATTTTGAAATACTTTGCTTTGACTAGATCCTAAACACCTTCCCGAAACCTGATTTTCTGTCTGGCTGTGTCTCTGCCGTGGCTCCTTCCAGAGTTCCCGTCTCAGCCTTTCACAGGGCTGGAGGAGTCATTCAGTGCTGCACTTAACCAAAGGCATCCAGAATGCACTACCAACTGGCATCAGCTTTGGAGGTTTCAGAGTTAGTTTTTAGCTTCTCCTTGGAACAAAAACAGTAGCCTTTCTACTGCTTGCACTGAGGTGGAGTTCTTTAAATGTTTGTTTCCAGATCACAGCTTGAACTTTTTGACTTGATTTTAGCATGGCAAAAGAGCCCTAGATAATAAGTCTGGTTTTTGACCTCATTTGTTGGTGGCTTCCTTTGCCCTCTGGAATCATGCAGAGTTGAGCTGCACCCATCAGAAACTGTCTGAGCCCTCAACACCACGGGCTAAAGCCCAAGGCAGCAGCAAGCAGGGGAATTGGGCAGTGCCTCTGAGTGTGCCATCTTTGTAGCAGCAGTGGAGCCCTTGCCAGCTCCATGTTCCTGTGTCTGGCGAGGGGGTGCTGTGGCACACAGGGTTACCCACCCGAGGGTCAGCCGGTGCTGGGGAAGCGCCCGCACGCATGATTTATTCCAAAGCAGGGAAGCTGGTGCCCTGAGGCAAGCGCTAAGCAAAACCCATTTTATTCTAGAGTCAATATTGTCCGCTGCCTGGAAAGCTGCCAACCTGCTCTGTGCTCGCCCTTTTCTTTCCATGTCTTTCAGCCTCTAAGCATCTGATTAAAAAAGCAACTTCACTTTTCAAGCCGTTTTATTTTGTTTGGGATGGATGCCTTTTGCTTTCATTGCACAGTCTGCCTTGCCGT